GCGTAATGTTTACCTTTCTTACTCCAGAGCACACTATCCAGCCTTGACCTCTCTTACTCCAGAGCACACTATCCAGCCTTGTTTAGCTTCCCATCGAGTGAGAGATCTGCATGCGAACCCCCTGCCTCACAGGCAGGTCTGTGTGGTATTGCAGACCTCTTTCCCATGCTGCATGTGTCAGATGTAGGTAGCTCCCTAATTTAGCAGTGTTTTCTCACTGTGAGCTGCCACACTGCGGGGCAAAAGCTGAAACAGCCCCAACAGACATTTTATCGGCACCTTTTGTGTCCCTCAGGATATCTGGAACAAGCTGTCGGAAGAACAATCCTTGCGGGAAACTCAGTTTCATGAACTGCAGAGGAATGATACTTGGGGTTATGCCATTATAACTGTGTGTAGAACTCAGATTTCGGGATTTGGGGGGCTAACGTAGGGGCTAGTATGATACTTCATATTAATAACTGTGTGGGCGTGAGCTGTGGGTGAGGATTTCAGGATTTGGAAATGACAGTCAGTTTGGCGGGCTGAGGCCAAGCCAAATAACCATCTTCCCTGAACTCAGGAAAAAGCAAATACTGTGTCCTCTGCTAGCACCACGTCTGTCCCATGCAGTTCTCCTCATGTACTTCAGTCTGAGTTAGGCCTGTAGCTGCAGTGATATGAGCCAGTTCACCCCCTGGAATCAGTGAGTGTCCATCCCGCCAGGGATCTGCAGGAGAAAGGAAAAATGAACCTGGCGGTTTTGCTGAGGCCCTGTCCTCACAGGAGCGAGGAGCGCTACCCAGCGCAGCCAACGCAGCGCCTGTTAAGGTGAAGCAGGCGCATGGAAGGTGGGTGAAGTCTGTGGGCCATAAGCTGTGCCTGGGCAGAAGGAGCTTTCTCAAGGTGCGCCCATGTGGGCGACTCTGAGGGTACTGACAGCATCAGTGGTTAGGACCCAGATAGTCACAGCAGCTTCATTTTCTTGACTAGCTCATGCAGTGTCTCTTCACAAATGTCAAAAGTACAAGAACAGAGATTTCTTCCTTCCCTTCATATTCTAAATAACCCAATAACTTCGTTTCCTGTTATGGAAGGCTGCTCCTGGCTTTTTGAGGCCTGGACCTGACTCTGGGAAGGAACTGGCCATAGGAAGGTTCAGCCTCCAGTCATGCAGTGCTATTGGTTGGTGCATGGTTGTAGGTGAGGGTTGTGGCAAAGCTTTTCGTGAAGGTTGTGGCAGATTAGCATGAGAAGAAACAGAAAACCTTAAGAAAGGATGGGATGATGCAGTGCACTCAGGAAGCTGAAAAGATGGTTGCTTCTTCCCTCGATTTTCAGGATGTTCAGTGAGAGCATCTCCTTTCTTCACTTGCCTTTGGGGGTTTCATTTGCTTAATTATCTTAGGCACCAGCACCTGTGAATATGTCCTGCCCTGAAGTGACAGAGTTTGACACTATCTGAAGAAATGTACACATGACAAACAAGTAGAAGGACTCATACCATCTACTAAAGGTACCTGCAGATAACCAGAGGTCCTCATCAGCACCAGCCTTCTCATCCTTGAGGCCACGTATCCAATTCTTCCCTCGAGTCTCAATCCACATGCACTCTTCAATGCTATGGATTATTTCTGTAGCAGAATGGTAATTATATGTCTTGTACAAATGCCTAAAAGTGAAACAATCCCAGGCAAAAGAGTTTTAACTGAGTGCCTGGAGTTGCTTTTCTCAGCAGTTTGCAGTTGCTCTAGTGCCTGGAGTTGCTTTTCTCAGCAGTAGTGGCACTGTTTGCAGAACATCCCTGAGCCCTTCACAAGAGCGCCTGCACACACTGCTTTGCATCCATCACAGCACAGCAGCAATCGACACCCTTCCCTCCAGTTTGTGCTGGTCTGAGTTAATCAGGGATGAGCTTTGTCTGCAGCTGATCAAACAAACATGCCAGGGCCTGGAGGTGGGTGCTGTTCGTTTGTCAGGCTGCAACTCCCAGGAGCGCAGTCTGGAAGCGGACTTGCAGAAGGGCTTCGTTATACAACATCCCCCACCTGCCTCTGTCTAGTTGCCCTTGGGCTGCTATTAGTTTCACATTTCTGGGTGTCTAAATTCCTATAAAGAAAGAAGGTGTAAAAGTAATTAGAGTTTTTGGATTTTTTTTTGAACATACAACTCCACCCTGGGCCAAACACGCTTCTGCACACCCAACGAATAGGTGCAAACCAGCTGGTAGGAAATCCCCTGGCTTGATGGCAATTGCTAGCATTTCAGAGCAGCCTACTGTTTTGACTGTAGCAGGGAGCTTGATTGAAAATGTCAGTCCTGAAATGTAGCTTCGCCATGAAGAAGGATATATGGGACAGGGAGACAGAGCTCCTGATACTTGCTTTTCCCCACGACACTCACTGACATATATATATGTCTATACCTATAAGACTAGGTATTGTGCCTGGCATATAAACATAACACAGCTGACTTCCCCTTGGCAGAGAAGACTTAAAGTATTGTTTTGTGTTGCACTGCGGTCTGAAGCTGCTGCTGAATATCCTTTATCATCCACAGGAGGTCATCCACAAAGCTTGGGCTAAACGCTCCACGGGATGATCAGAGCTTTGGCTTAGGGAAGAGATACATCATCCTGCTGAGAGGTGCAAGCCACCCGCCGGACATGAGGCTTGTCCTGTCTTGTCCGTGGGAGCTGCTGCCCTTTTCAGCATGTGGATTATGATCTTGGCAGGACCAGATGGCAGAGGCCTGATAGGTTCAGGCAGAAGCAGCAAAGTAGGAAGCCTATTGCAATCCACAGGTCTTATATGAGAAGAATGGATGTAAATTGATTTATTTGTTTTGATGGGAGAATTCAGCGTGGTTGCTCATTCTTGTGTAACTACAAGCTGTATCTGCAGCAACGCATGGGTGCAATGTTCTTCCTTGCAGGCCTTTTCAACATTCCTGAGCTCTTCCAAGCATTTTATTTTTTCCTGCAGAATTATCTTTCACAGTAGAGCCCTGTGTAGACCTCTGCTCCTGTGCCATTCACCTCTGAGGCTAGTTGCTGAGTTGCAATGATAGCACTGGAGCTACATCATGATAGTCCACAGAGGTGGCCTGGGGCTTGCGGATTAGGAACTTTGGCTCCCTCTATTTCCGAGGGTGGGTGAAGCCAGCTGGCAGGGGCAGCGGCAGCTATCTGCCACCCCTCCCCAGCAGCGGTGACATTGGGCAGGGTGGAGCAGTGCGCAGCAGAGCTGGCAGGAGATAGCCGGGCTCCATGTGGAGTCTGGCAAACCTTTTGGAGCTCTGGCACCCCGGACCCACGAAACCCACTCTCCTGTGGCAGAACAGGAGCGTTCCCTGGCTGCTCCCAACCAGGCTGATGGATTTAGGTGGTTTTCCCAGTGCACCTGGCTTTGTTCCGGGATGGCCAAGAAACAGCCCGCTCTGCTACATCATTCTGCCTCCCCTCTGCGGCAGGTAACCAGTGCCTGGCTGGGAGGGTAGCACTTCCAATACTACCCCTGCGCTCTGTGCACCGTGCGGGCTCCGGGTCTGCTCTCAGTGAGCTGCAGCTACACTCGGGGCTTGTCTGGGGTAACTGGCCTTCTGGAACGGCTGGGGGCTGGATGGTTTGGACTGCGGTGTCCACGTTTTGGACGAGCTGAGACATCTCGGACAAGCTGAAGTTTGGCTGCTCTCTGAAAGGATCTGGGTCAGGATCAGGGCCTGGAACAGGAGCTGCTGACCCCAGACACAGACTGAACTGGACAAGAACTGAAGATACTACCTTAAATATTCCCTGACTGGAATAAAGCAAAAAAGAAGAAAGCAAAGGAGCCTTTTTTTTTTTTTTTCCCTTTCCTTGGCCTTCATTTGTCTTCTGGGCTAGAATCCATCCGTGTGACTGGCACACCAAACTCCTGGTTGCTGCAGGGGTCTGGGATAGCGGTGACGGTCACATGGCCTCCTGTTTGTTCTGTGGCAGATGGCACTTGTGGCTTGGAGCATTTCGTATCAGACGAGGGCACAGGGATGTGCTTTTGTAACACCTTCTTATCTTGTAGCCGAGCATCACGAACCGCAGGGCCTGAGCACCTGAGCACGGGCTGGGCTTCTGTTTAGGTGAGGAGACCTCCAGACATCCCACCCCACCCAAGAGCCCCAAGGCCTCAACAAGCCTCTGGTTTCATTCAACCTGAGGACACATCCCGCTGAAGCCAGGCCGCCGTGTGCTTGTCCTCACTTCTGTCTTTCTGCTGCCATGGAGAGAGCTTTGCGGCCCAGGCCCCGCTGGCATTTTATAGCATCTGCAAATTGCTGTGCTGATGTGGGGAGGCAGGAGGAGGGACATGCGGTTGCTGCTCAAATAATGATGGTTTCATTAATGTAAAATAAATATTGCCCTTTTTTTAAGCAGACAAATCTTTCTTTTCTGTAGCTATTCCAGCTCTTCCTGCACTATTTACGCAAACCTTGTGAAACCAGGGGGCAGGAGGTGGCTGTTTCTCCACCAAAGCGGTTTCTGTCACCAGACGGGGCCACCAGGGTGTGTTGGGGGGATAAGAGGGAGTTGGGGGTCACACGCACACCATGATAAACCCCCAGTTCCCACAACGGGAATTAAGGCCCCGCCCCCGCCGCGGCCGCGCAACGGCTCCCCACGGCTCCTCTCCGCGCCCCG